GGCTTTATAACAGTCCAAGGCAGAATTTATTAGGTATTCCCTCTAATGGGTTCCATAAAATATTCTTTCAGTTAATAAGTGAAAGATCATCTTTGTAGCTGAGAAGCCTGCAGATTCTGACTCAGATTTATTAAAAATGCTGAAGCCTGTTAGTAAGTCAGCAGATATGATGCAGCTATCGTGTGCCAAATGCTTGTCCTCCGCAGGTTTCTAAAAGCTTTACGGCACGAGGTCGTGGTCCTTGAAGGATAGCAGCCAGAGTGTTTACTATTGCGAAATGCCACGTTCCTCCTGCTACGTTGCCAGCTCCATCCCTTGAGAACAGACAGTAAAGTCAGCCGAGCTTTTTAAAAGCTAAAATCCTTTGCCTCGTCATCTAGTTTACCATCTCACAAAATAGGGTTTCTCTTGCACGTCAGCAGTGGCTTAGGGGCAAGGCAATGCTAATTGACTAATAAAATCCCTATTTGATGTGGTAATTGCTGCATTCTTGCTAAATCACCGAGCCCAGGAGGTGACTCCTGGTCACCTCACTGTGCATAATATTAATTGAACTGCCATTGCCTCGGGCTGCAAACTGAGATTTACTGAAAATTCTTTCCAGTTATAGGATCAAGATCAGATGGGAGTTTTAGTTAAGAAACAAACACCAGGTAAAGCGCCTTCCAGCATCAGCTGTGGAAAATCTGCTTTTTCCTCTTCATTATTTCCTCAGCAACGTTAACTAGGAAATAAAATTCAAAGAGCACTTTAACTTTCTTTATGGCAATATTTCTCCACTTTACAATTCATAATTTTTCTTTTCATTAATGTCTAGCTTCAAAATTCTATGATCTATAGTAAAATGGCCTTTATTTAACTACAGTGAAGTATACTTTACTTAATTTTCTTTAAGACGAGTCTTTTCCTTTCAAATCACTGATTTTCTTCCTTCCCTTATGCTTTTTAATGACATGCATTATGTATTCTGATTTGCATTATAGAGAACTGTATAATTAGCATACTTTTCCTTCTCACACTATTGACTATCATTTAAGAGAGCTTCCACTCTTAAATGTTTTCTTCATCTTCACGGTTTTGGGCTGACACAAGACCCTCAAAATATCAAGTACCCAAGAAGCATTTACTGATTTACATTTTTGTTGTTGTTATTTAGTATTCTACTCTGAGAGGATTTAGAAAGACCTGTTTTGGGTGTGATACATGAGATTTGGAGACTGTAAAAATACTTACGACAGTGAAAATGCACTTATTGTTTGGAGTACAGAAATTCCAACTGGAACAAAATTCACGAGTTTTCTCATTGTTCTTGCTGGTTAAGGACAAAATTTTATAATACATATGTAGGGCTTCCCTGGTATCGCAGTGGTTAAGAATCCACCTGACAATGCAGGGGACACAGGTTCGAGTCCTGGTCCGGGAAGATCCCACGTGCTGCGGAGCAAATAAGCCCGTGCACCACAGCTACTGAGCCTGCGCTCTAGAGCCCACGAGCCACAACTCCTGAAGCCCACGCGCCTAGAGCCCGTGCTCCGCAACGAAGAGTAGCCCCCGCTCTCTGCAACTAGAGAAAGCCTGTGCAAAGCAACAAAGACCCAACACAGCCAAAAATAAAAAATTAATTTAAAAAAATACCTATGTATATATGTGTGTGTATGTATGTGGAGAAAATGCAAAATGTATTAAAATACAAAATATCAAGTTTATGCATATGTGTATATAAACACCCTAAGATTATAACCACCCTTGAATATGGCATCTATATTATCCTTTCATATCAATCACAAGAAAGTCGGTGAAGCATATTTACTCCATTGATGTTTCCAATGCTTTGAAAGAACTGGACCCTAACCTCTTAAAAGGTTACAACCAGCTTCATAAAGAAAGGTTGGGGGGAATTAGTGAATGCTAGATTATTGATAGGTTGTATAAACATATGCACTTCATTTGAAAATATAATTGGAATAAATCTGCTTTTCTAAAACAAGATAATAAAATTTTAACAAGAAATCCTTATTAAAGGTTATAAAAAAAGATTTCAAACTATTTCTCATCTTAGGCCTGGTACTTAAAATTTTTATATCCAGCTATTTATGTAAACTGAAATTTTCCATGATATAGATGATGATAAATTGAATGGTTTTTAAAGCAGCTTAATTTGAACACTGCATGTGCAATGGGAAATATTTTTAATTTTATTATTCAGTAGAGACGAAACTGTATAACTGACACACGCTTAATGTTGAAAAAAATCATATCAGTTAAAATGAGTATGGGAAGACAAACCATCCAAGACTGACCCACTTAAGAAAAATAATGAGACGTAAAATTAAACACTAACCAAAAGGAAAGGTACCTCGCTGAACTTAGCAATCCTGTCACTGCTAAGTGTGATAAGCAAAGGTCGGCCTTCAGTTTGGCTGGAGTTTGAGATGTGAGCAATGTGAGAAACAGCTACAAGGTAAGTTAAACTTTAACAAGGAGAATTTTATATGTCAGAGGGAGGACTTTTTTCCTTAGTTCATTGGGCAATACAAAGCTCTAAAGATGTTTGAGCAGAATGCCGTGATCTCAGCTTTATTTTAAAGAAGTTAATGTCATGACAAGTAAATAAAGAATGTGATACTGGATTACATCCTGAACCAAAACAAACAAACAAGAAAAGGTGGGACAACTGGCAAATCTGAATAAGGCCTCTAGATTATAGTAATTTATCAATGTCAATTTCTTGATGTGGGTACCTGGTACCACTGTGGTTATGAAAGGATGTTCCTTGTTTAGGAAACATACACTGAAGTGTGTAAATACAAAGGGCCATCATCATCTCTGCAACTGTATTTTAAATGTTTCAGAAAAAATGTGTCTCATGTGAGCACACACACAGTGGGAGAGGGAAAATAAACCTAGTGTGATGAAGTACTAACCTTTGGGGCACTGGCATGAATGGTGTACAGGAATTCTTCGTAATATTTTTGCACGTTTTTCTGGAAGTCTGAAACAAGGTCAAAAAACGTTTTTAAAAAAGAAAAGTAATATGTACACTACATACAACAGGTTAAGAGATGACCAGGCTGTGAGAGTCTGCACACAGCATCCTGACGGTCTAAAGACATTACCAGAATTTAAGATGCAGACATCTTTCAACTCAGCAACTCCACGTCTGGCATCCACTTCATGGAAATATACGCATGTGTGCACAAAAATATTTAGTGCAATGCTATTTTGTATTAGAAAAGAAAAACAATCAAAATTCATGTTTAAAAAGAAACTGAATTCAGGCACATTCATGCTATAGAATAATAGGAGGCAAAAGATTTATCAGCATCCAATATATCCTCACATAGAAAGAGCTCCAAAATATAGTAGATGAAAAACAAATTGCAAAAACATACATATGGTAAAATCTCATTTACGTTAAATCCCATTACGTTATCTTTTATATTTAAAAGGTAGGTAGAGGTTGTAGGTGCCTAGAGGTCACTGTGGTGACCTCTGGGAAAAGAGAAAGGTTAGGTTTGAAGATAGAAGGTTATGACAACGTTAAGGGCTTACTTATTTTAGACACACCTGTTTTGCTAATACGTCGAGATATTCGTGTATTACTTATGCCAAACAAAATAAACATCACAAAGTAAGTTTGTAGACTGCTGTAATTGTCTGATGCATGCGAAAGGGAAACTGAATTAGGGTGGTGTCCGCAGAAATGGAGAAGCAGTGGTTGGTGTAAGGGGGGAAATTTTAGGACTTGGAACTTGACAGGGTATACCGTGTGACAAAGGAAGGCAGATGGCCCACGGGGGACTGGAATCGCGATGGCTTTACTGGAAACAGAAAATAAGAGAAGCGGCTGCTTTGTAAGGAGAAGATCTTTTTTATTTCGGAAACATGGAATTTGCGATACTGACATCCAGGTAAATATACTGCAAGTTTCCTAGAAAGACATAATATTTAAAGTACACAGATCAGAACTACCCCGGGGTTAAGTGACTAAATTCTCAAGATAACAAGAGAAAGCAACTGTTAGTGGACACCAGTTGTACTACCTTATGATCACTGCGTAATGTTCCATTTGTAGTTATACATACACACTTAATCCTGGGATAGCTAGTTATACATATTTGGGTATTAAAATGGATCTTAAGAGGCTACAATATTGTATTACACAAAGGAGTTCGTTCACATTATTTTCAAGAAATAAATTCTTATGGAATGAGAACTGTCTTCCATTTCGTACATTTCCCACTTAAAACTCTATATCTAAATCAAACTCCCTAAAATGAATGAAATTGGCAAGAATGAAGGACAGAGATCATAAGCAAATATAATTATTATAACTACAAATTTAAATGGTGTAAGTATTATTCAAGACGCTTTTTCCTCTCAGAGTTTAAGATGTTATTGTCCGGGTCCTAGCAGGATGTTGAAGTCCATCAACAGGGCGACTTGTGGCATTTTTAAAGTGACTCAGGTGACTGTGCTTTTGCAACTAGAGGGTGCTGAAGGACCACAGAGGACTAGATATATCTCGTCTTTTAAAGATTCAGTAATCAGTGACTCTTTTACAAATTAAAGTCTTCAATAAAATAACATTGAATTGTAGATGCAATTTGCATAAACAATACGTAAACACATTTTATTATTGAATTGACAATCCAAACCCTCAGTTGCTGCAAACTCTCCAAATAATGTAAATATACTTATTTGGTCTTATGTTTATGTTACATGGATTACTGATAGTCCTAGCATCAGCTATAGAGAAATAAAAAGGTACATTGGCTCTGATATTACTAGGGAATACAAGTCTTATAGACCAGAAAGTACCTATTTTGCAAGTTGGAATAAGACCAAAGCAATTAATCCAAGTAGCCTGGACTTTTAGCAAGAAAGAAGATACAAATGGAGGTGAGATCTAACTAAGTAATCATTTACTTAACCTTTAAATGTCTTGTAACAAAATCGAGCACTATTCAAATAAGAAAAAAAGAAATTCAGGAAAAAAATTTAATTTTACTTTAAAAGATGTGAGCATTTTAATAAAATAAAGAAGTTAAAATCCTCTAATGATTATGGATTTTTCTTCCCAACTCAAGTTACTTCTAGTAATAAGGTATTTTCCTCTTGGTTTCTTACAAATGGTACGAAATCACATATTCATTGCTATATTCCAATTCAAAATATTTATGACTCTTTTTAAGGCACAATGATTTTGTATACTCTGTATCCACAAAATAAAATCCATGAAAATATATCTAGGTTTTAAAGTGAACTAAATAGAATTTCTTTTATCAGAAACATTTAATCAATATATCTCCTTTCATTTTTATTTTATGAGAAACCAGAATTCAGCACGAATTTAGGTAAATCTAGATTTCCCTTTGTTTCAAAAATGCTCACTGGGCTTTATCATCTGGCATTTGACAACACAGGCACACTTTAAAATGAGCTGCTTTTACAAATTAGGAATTGGTTTGAACTTTATTGCTCCACAGAGCTCATGTAGTTAGAGCTGATATACTTCTACTTATAAAGTTATACCATATGTAATATGCTTTTGCTTTATCTATGATAATACCATCTAAAATTGTACAAGAATAAGGTGGCTTTCTCCGAAAGTTACAAGGGAAGGGATCTGAAACACTACGTACATTGCGATGATGACAAAACAGGGTTCAGAGTGCACCCCGTTTTATTATCAGAATTATCGGAATATTTGCAATTTACACTAACTGGAGAGAAATGTTCGGATTCCATTTTACGTAGTACGCTTATCCTTCATTTATTCCTAAAGCAATTATGTTTGCTTTACATAAATACATCATGATTAGAGCACAGACGTAACAAGATCATGCTGCCATTCCACATGATGAAGGCGCCATATTTGTATTACACTCCAATGGCATCCAAAATGCAATATATTGCTATGAAAATGCAAAGAATGTTCACAGATTGGCATTAATGAACGAGGTTGTTCACAATGCAATGGGACTTGACTTTATACGAATGGAAAAGGTTTATCATAAATATATAGACCAGTAGATAACGTTGAAGAATAAGAAGCAGAAAGGAAACAACGCTCTTGCATAAAGATCGATCCTCTTCGCTGCCGTCGGAATAACGGGTTTGGCAGGAGGCGGCTTCTTGTTGTTCTTGGCCTGGGATTTCCCAAGTCCGTTGTTGACCTCAATGGGTTTTCCATAGCAGTCATAATTGGACAATTCAAAATCTCTCGGTAAGCTTCCCACGATGCTGAAGTCGTTAGATCTCAGATCAGACTTGGACGTACAAACCTTTTTGCATCTGGTCTCTCCAACCTGAGAATAAAAATTAAAGACAGGATATTTAGAATTTTTCTATTTATAAAACGTCTTCAAAAAGACATTTTAAAAATCGGATGGTCTATTCAGTTGACTATTATGTCTCTTTGTCAAACAGAAATAATAGTCAATTGATTAAACCACGGAATTACCTGAACATTTAGGGCTCTAAAATGTTGCCTATACAACAAGGCTTATGTCATGGAATAAACTTTGGGTAGGTTATTTTATGTTAAGGGATCAAGGCGCAAATCATCCTTTATCTTAGGTGCTTCCAGGCTTGTGAGAGTTCTCAGTTGAAAGGCTGACCAATAAATGAAAATCCAACATTTAACCATGACACAGATCATATTAGCAGAACATACGGAATACAAACGTCTTCTGGTACCTCTGACCTTTGATTTCCCCAGGGATCCTATTGCCAAATTGGGTTGTTTATAAAAGACTGAGACATTTATCCTTGCAATGAGACAGGCTGTGTCTCTAAACCACACTCACAAGTAAGAACTAAAAATGGTCACAATGATCATGAACAAAAGATTGACCAGCGAAAGGCATTCCTCACTTGCTGCCTGAAGATGAATTAGCCAGAGAATCCAAACTCAGAAAATCCAAAGAAACTGGATATTTCAGCCAGATCATATGCTACAGAGACTGTTCAGTTGATCATCTCTGAAGTATTACATTTGACTCAGTTCCCTACAATACACAAAATAATTATTCCACACTGAACTCTCTCTGGCTGTCAGAAAAGCTCGTGGAAAAGACAGAGGCTGACCAGTGGCTTAAGGAAAGGCCACAGAAGGGGGAGCCCATGATTCCACTGCTTCATCTTCCACTGTTCTTACTCCCGAGCTTTGTGATTCACCTTGGGAATCTTCACTAAAATATTTACTGTTTTACCGAAAAAGGAAACCATGTCATTGTACACTATTAGTACACTCTAATTTTTGCCTTAGTTAGAATAAGACATTGACTAATTATGTGGATTCTATTCACATTTACTAGATTATGTCTGGGTAAAAATGATGCTTAATGTAAGATGTAAAACAAGTCATTCCCCAGCAGCCCTTCAGGTACCAGGACGGTATCCTTTATCCGAACAAACACTGAGGCATATTTTCTGGGCAAAAGCCAGATGGCAGTGCTCAGAGGTGGAAGCAAAAGTAACCAACATACACTGAGTGAAAAAACAAATGAAAATGTGTCACCACATCCTCTGGCTTTATACATTTAGGTTGTTTCCTTTTTTTTTTTTCAATTTTGAACAAGTGCTGGTAATGTTATTTTTTTAAGCTGATCTATGAATGTTGGCTTTATAATTATATCTTTATACCACATAGATATTTGTACAATCCTGTTGGGTAAGAACTTTTGAAAAAGATGTTTATGTAAATATAATTGTACAAAAGTACACAAGAAAATGTTGATAAGTAGGAATGGGGATTGAGGCACTGGAATTTCATCCTTTCTGAATGTCTTATAGGTTAAAAAAATGTGAATCACCAACATATTAAAATATTTAGAAAGCATCGATTTAGTTCCGTCCTGGCTTGATGGGACTTGGAGCTAAAGGAGGCCAGCCGGAAGAAAGAGGATTACCGTTCCCCGTTTTTTAATGTACAATCCCAGCTTCCCCATGGTGAGGACCCAGTAGAGCTTAAAGAGGAGTTATATCCTGATGGAGCCACCATTGGTCCGGGCTCTGGTCCACATCAATTTAACCCAGTGTCTAGGAAAATGTCTGGCAAAAAATAGGGACTGATCAATGGAATGAGACAGAACAAAGCTGGCAACGAGAATCTAAGTTATTTAAATGTGACTTTGGGAAATCGTTCATGTATATATTATATATGTGTATATATATATCACAAATTATGAAAACATATATTTAAAATTTACTTCCAGGCCTTTTATTTAAATTCCCCAATTTGAAATCTTAAAAGGTCACTTTCATCAAGTAGTCTGTCACCTAAGCTCTGTCTCCACACACACACACACACACACACACACACACACACACGTTCACACTCACATACACTCCTGGTAAATGTCCCAGACAGAAGACCGCATTTGAAGCTCTGGTTTTCCAGGGCTGTTTGACGAATGGGTAAGTCTCAGTGTGTGTCAGCGAACTTGTGTAAAGACTAAATCACGACCTTGATCGGAAGAGAAGTTGGGAATAGCCTCTCCATATCAAACCTTTGTACTATTCTCAGACTCTCAGAGCAGCCCGCAAGCTCTGGGACTCCGTGGGTGTCCCAGGCTCTCTCTCACTTAGAATCCTCTGCTCCAAGAGCACTAACTGTGCTTTAGAATCACGTATCAAAACAAAGGAGGACTCTGGCTTCTGACAGCAACTCAGGAAGCGTGACTCCTACCAGTTCTTTTTACTTTTGCACAAAGAAGGCCATACATATTTACTACAGAAGTGCATTTACTCTGAACCGTATTTTATTCATGGCTTTAGGGGTAGTTTCAGTATCTATAAGTAACTGGACAAGTAGCCCAATTTATATGATATTATAACCTAAGTCATACATATTAACACTTAAAATTTTCTAGTGTTTTGTTTACATAAACAAATTCTTAGATTCTGCCAGCAATTTTGTTTGTTTTTTGTTTGTTTGTTTGTTTTGCGGTACGCGGGCCTCTCACTGTTGTGGCCTCTCCCGTTGCGGAGCACAGGCTCCGGACGCGCAGGCTCAGCGGCCATGGCTCACGGATCCAGCCGCTCCGCGGCATGTGGGATCTTCCCGGACCGGGGCACGAACCCGCGTCCCCTGCATCGGCAGGCGGACTCTCAACCACTGCGCCACCAGGGAAGCCCTGCCAGCAATTTTAATCATTATAAAATTGTACCTACACAGCTCATTCAAAATGTAGACATAGAATGTTACATTTATTCCAAGAGATTGTTTAAATATAGGAAATAGTTAAGGGAAGAATAATTACTTCAATGTTGAAGTGATAACAGGAAAAATCACTCCAAAAACTTCAGTTTGGTTACACTAAATGCTTCATCATTTAGTCTATTGAACACTCTTCTATAAACGTATTTGCAGATTCTTATATTTGAAATGAGGTGTGTGTGTGTGTTGGTGAAGAGTACGTCTACTGCAGAAGTAATTTTTAATGACGTGTCAGAGCTGAATAAGCAATAAAATTAGGTTCCCTACTGAGAAGTCCTCTAGTTGCTTAAACAGCTCATAATTCATTACCTCATTTGCTGGTCTCTTCTTCTGCTCATCAGAGACTTTACACAAACACAACTTTCTTTAGTTAATACTCTCCACACATGATTATCAAATCAAACATGTACATAAGAGTACAAAGAGTTTACAATATAAATGCTATTTTAAACAATTATAATGTCACATGCAGAGGGATTAGATGAGCTACTTATAAGTAAGACAGTAACCCCACTCAACACATTTCTAAAAGTGATCTTGGTTCTACAGATCTCCAATTTATACTTTCCCCATTTTTCCTCATATGAATATGTGTCTCATTTACTTTCATCATATAAACTTGTCACTTCTGAAAATTACTGGTAGCAAAAATGAGGTACTACGATAATGAGGCTGTCAAGGATAAAAAATGATGAAGATAAGAACTTCCAAAGGCTTCAAACTGTAGCCTCTAAGATTTTCTTTGTGGTCCTTTCCAGCTTGAATCTGCACACAGGTAAAAGCGAATCGCCCGAGGCAATATTTCTAGACCAGAAGACTTAGGTGTGATTTCACGGTGGTAAAGGTATCCTCTACAGATGATAAAAATATGCTCAGAAGGGACCTGAACAACAGAGAACTTACTAGAAAAATGAGCAGAGCCTCAGTGGTGACGTGTGGGCCTGTAACAGAGAATCTAACATCTGTGTCGTCACAGTCCTAGAAGGACGGAGGAAAGGTACTCAAAAACTAACAGCTGAAAACTTCTCCCATTTGGCAAGAAACATAAGCCTTCATTTTTTCTAACAAGCTGAACAAACCCCAAACTGGATGACCCCTAAAAAAACCACTCCAAAATACATAATTAAACTTCTGAACATTAAAGGCAAAAAAAAAAAAATCTTGAAAGCAGCCAGAGAAAAATGACATTTTACCTAAAGGAGAAAAACAGTGTGAATGAAGCAGAGTTCTTCTCAGAAGCCACAGAGTCCAGAAGGAATGGGCACAATAGTTTTTAGGTGCCAAAGGAAAAGAACTTTCAACCGAGGATCCCATTCCCAGTGAAGAGATCCTTTGGGAATGAAGGGAAACCAAGACATTCCCAGATGAAGGAAACTAGGAGGATCTGTTACCAGCAGCGCTACCCAAAATAATGGATAAAGGCAATTCTCTAAAAGGAAAGAAACAATAAAAGATAGAACCTTGGAATATCAGAATGGAAGAAAGATCAAAGTAAACAAAAATAGGCACAAATACAATAAACTTTCCTTCTCTCTCTGAGTTTTCCAAATTATGTGTGATGGTGAAGCAAAAAGTGTAACACTTTCTAATTAGGTTCTAAGAAGTATTTACAATAATTTTGTCATGTGAAGAGGAAAGCAAAAGGTGTTAAAGGGAGGTAGCATTTCTACACATCACACAAAGTGGCAACAGAGTGACATCAGGAAACTGTGATAAAGTCATGTGTATATAATGGGACACCTGGAGCAGCCTCCAAGCAAGAGAGTGACATGCTTACAAACAATACAGGAAACTCAAAATGTCATTCTAGGAGCTGTTCAAGCAGTCCATATGGAAGAAGGAGAAAGAAGAAAGAGATTAAAAATAGAACAAATAGGACACAAAATATACACCCTGAAAAAACCATCATTCAAAACGACACATGCACTGCAATGTTCATTGCAGCACTACTTACAATAGCCAGGTCATGGAAGCAAGCTAAGTGTCCATCGACAGATGAATGGATAAAGATGTGGCACATATATACAATGGAAATTACTCAGCCATAACAAGGAACGAAATTGGGTCATTTGTAGAGACGTGGATGGACCCAGAGTCTGTCATACAGAGTGAAGTAAGTCAGAAAGAGAAAAACAAATATCGTATATTAATGCATATATGTGGAATCTAGAAAAATGGTAGAGATGAAGCTATTTGCAGGGCAGGAATAAAGATGCAGACGTAGAGAATGGGCATGTGGACATGGGGGTTGGGGGATGAATTGGGAGATTGAGATGGACGTATACACACTACCACGTGTAAAACAGGTAACTAGTGGGAACCTGCTATATAGCACAGCGAGCTCAGCTCAGTGCTCTGTGGTGACCTAGATGGGTGGGACAGGGGTGGAGAGGGGAGGCCCAAAAGGGAGGGGATATACGTACACATACAGCTGATTCACTTCGTTGTACAGCAGAAACTAACACAACATTGTAAAGCAGCTATACCCCAATAAAAAATAATAATAAAATTAAAAAAAAAAAATAGACTGAAGCCCTAAATATATCAATAAGTTCATTAAATTTAAATGATCTAAATATACAAATTAAAACGTGAGAGGGCTTCCCTGGTGGCGCAGTGGTTGAGAGTCCGCCTGCCGATGCAGGGGAGGCGGGTTCGTGCCCCGGTCCAGGAAGATCCCACGTGCCGCGGAGCGGCTGGGCCTGTGAGCCATGGCCGCTGAGCCTGCGCGTCCGGAGCCTGTGCTCCGCAACGGGAGAGGCCACAACAGTGAGAGGCCCGCGTACCACACACACACAAAAAAAACGTGTACCACACACACACAAAAAAACCAAAAAAATAAAAAAAGACCTGCAGACAGCATCACGTAAGAACAGTTTGCTTGCCTCTGTCTCTAAAAACGTGTCTAACGTTCTAGGTGTTGGTAGGAGTGGCGGTCAGCAAATGGACATGGTCTGGGGCCAGATGCAGGCAAGGTTTCCAAGGCTGTAGGATGGTCTGGACCTGTTAGTCTCTTGTGGAACTTACCATGCTACGTTCAGTGGAAATGGTCCCCTGGCCTAGGGTCTTCTCAACTAGAGGTCATCAAGTACAGGCATGCTGGAGTGAGTGGAAAACTGTCCTCAATCCATGACGTGGTCTGTGGCTCCAGGATTTATCAGTACCTGAATCTAGAGGCATGGTCCGCTATTCTTAGACCCATCACCAAGTGACAAGGCAAGGTCATGGGTTTTAACTGTTCAGTTCTTCTCTAGCTACTCACTGCACTGGACAAATCCCAAACCATGGGCATAGTTTCCCTATGAGCCAGGCACCCAATAAAGAAGTAGCCTGCCTGACATGAGCATTGTGAAGCTCTCCAACTTGATGGGGAATGGGTGGGAGATTGACTCAAGAACGTGGGCCCCGTAAGCCTTCAGCCCCCCGGCCATTCGCAAAGGTTTGTCAAATGAGAAAGAGTAGGAAGGTCTGTCACTTGGGCAAGGCCTCCACATTCAGTGGTGACCATCAGAGCAGAGGAATTGAAGCATCCTTAAATTCCACAGAAAGTTCTCCAGTAATTTGATAAAGTGTTGATTTTTTTCTCAGTTACTATTGGACCTAAGTGTTTTCTATTCTTTTCCAAAAAGTAGGTTGTGTTTAGTCCCTTTGCATCTGTGAGAGAAAAACGAGTGAGAACCAATTCTACCAAACCTTTAAACCCGCAGAACGCACTTTGCTGGCCGACGTCATCCTTACCTGTAAGGTGCTGATGTGAACAGGTGTGCCCGTGCCATTCACAGTGTTCTTCTTAGCTGCACTCCCCCCCTTCCCATCTGCTTGCTCAGCCTTGGCAATTCTGGCTTTTTCCGCTTCGACTCTCTTGGGGTTATTGAGCATCACCTGGACGACCGCGTACTCCACCAGGGACGCAAAGCCGAAGAGCAGACACGCGATGAGCCACACGTCCAAAGCCTTCACGTAAGACACCTTGGGAAGTTCCGCAGCCAGGGTTGTGCACTCAGAGGCCAAGCTGAGCACTGAGAAGATTCCTGCAGGACAGAAACAGGAATTCAAGTTGCTTTTTACTCCCGTGAAATGTTCTACAATCACTGCTCTTTGATGAAATCCCCCTCCAATAACTTTCAATGCCCCTCAGGTCCCCTTAAAACTCAAAGAGTAGAAGAAACACCATGTACTTGCTTCTTATGTAAGAATTATTGAATGTGGGTGGTATGTGTGTAAACACTTAACATTTTAAAAAATAAATATTTATTTTTTATTTTTTATTACCCTAATAATGAAAGATGTACTTGGTTCTCTTTGCTCTTGCATTGGGAATACGGGAAACACTATATTAGTATCAATAATCATTTAAAACATTGAAAAATATATATTCCACCAGTTGCATCATTTCAGAGGCTCCTGAAAGGTGTGGAGTTTTGGGGATTTTTTTTTTTTTTTTAACATTGAAGAACTAAGAGACTCTCTCCTAGAAAGAAAGGCTTTTAGTAAAATATAACTTCTGCAGGTTGAAACAATATTACATATATATATATATATATATATATATTACTATTATATTGTAATTATCCTCTATCCTGAAGAAAACTAATTAACAGGACTATGTTTTAAAAGTTAATATAGGTTTTAACATTTTCTAACCTGGAAGTGAAAAGTAACATAAAAATCCAAGATCTTCTCAAACATTGCCCTAAACTCAGTTAATTATACCTATGGGCATTAATTTAGCAAATCACATTCCCAAGTTATTTTTTTATTCTTAATCAAGTGTTAGTCAACTTATCAATCAAAAACAAGCCTTGAAGTAGTATATAGTGACACCATCCTCTGTGTTTCCATAGCATTTCATGCTCATCAATAACACAGAATGTATCAAATTGTAGTAAATTTAGTAGTATACCTGAATCTTTATCCTGATGTATTAGCAGCTTTATGAATGAAATGGAGAATAAGCCAGATTATAGAAGGCCCTCAAAGTCCTAGAGTGGATCTTTTATCATATTTGGTAGAGAAATGACATTATCAAGAGAATATTTCAATAACGTCACTCTTCTAGGGATAAAAAAATAAACTGAGAAAGAAAAATATAGGAGATGCAGAAACAAAGAATAAGAAAATGAAGGATAGGATGAATGTGAAAGGATTTTGGAGAAAACATTTTTTAAAACTTGATTACTATTTAAAGGAAGAAGGAAAAGACTGAGACAAACTTCTAAACAGAATGACTGGGAAAATACCCATGAAATATAGGAAGAGGAGAATATAGAAAAGATGTGACTTTGGAAAGAAAACACCAAGTTAGGCCAGATAAAGGCCGAGAAACAAAGAACTGGTGACCACGACTCAGCACAGGGCACCCAGGACCTTCTTGAAGGACAGATTGGCCAGTATCGTTCAGGGGAGGTTGTGGTGGAAAGGGAGGGGACTCCAGAGAGGCTCAGGCATCAGAAAAAGGAGGTCAAAGGAGCAGAGAAAGATTCAGAATAATAGAATATTAATGGACATTTGGGAGATATTTATAATCCCAGGCATTAAGTTAAAAACCATGGTGACCAATCCCAATAAGATCTGTATCATTTCGAAGATGTAAGAATGGAAATGGAGATCAGTTGAGAAGGAAGAGAATGTGGACCTCACTGTGTGCCTTGTCTTCAGGAAATCACATTAAAATAGGAAACGTCCACTTGCTTTTTTATCCTAAAATAAGAAATCTGAGCAAATATTTCTCCAGACAAATATTTCAGCCTTATATTAACATGGCCTTCAGATGAGATTACATCATTGTTTAAGTAACTCATAGTGAAATGCTGCCTGAATTTTCCTACATTATGAACCAATAAAAAGAAATGTGAAACCCATCATTCAAAAAAATGGGTATATTTATAATTTCAATATTGTGTTCTTAATATATTATTCCCATTTAATGGAGCACCTCTCTAATAAATTCCAGGACTTCTTGGTATAATTTTTCTATAACGTGTTTAAAACATATAGTCCTTATTTGTCATTTGTTACTTTCTCTCCCTAATGCAAAAACAAACCAAGTCTAGATTTCAAATCAGGGAGTATGTCGTAAAATTGCTATCAACTCTGATAAACAGGCGTGAGGTCTACATCTACTAAAAGTTATGGCTAACAAATAATATAAATCAAAGTATTAATAAATTAACTACATAAAATAGTTAACCTGAATAAAAACTTCTATAAAGAATTCAGGGTGAAGATAAAGTTGTTTAGCTCATCAATATGCAGAAAGAACTTTATAGTGATAAAATCCTTATTTAAGAGACCACTATTGATAGTGAACTCCCATTGACTATGGGATGTCCAGAGATTTCTCGTTCAGACAATCTCAGAGGAAACATCTGAAAAATAATTCTTTAATAGCATATACTCTAGCAATCTATTGCCTAAAAGAGGAATACCAAAACCTAGAAGACTGAAAAAGGAAAGCAAGAAAAAGGGTGAAAAAAGAAAAGGAAAAGAAAGGGGAGGTAGAGAGATTTTTTTTGTATTTCATTTATTTATTTATTTTATTTCTTTTTCTTTTGGCTGTGTTGGGTCTTCGTTGCAGCCCACAGGCTTCTCTCTAGTTGTGGCATGCGAGTTTTCTCTTTCTAGTGTCTCATGCAGGCTCCAGAGCATATGGGCTCTGTAGTTTGTGGCACGCAAGCTCAGTAGTTGTGGCGCGTGGGCTTAGCTGCCCTGCCGCACATGGGATCTCAGTCCCCCAACTAGGGATCGAACCCACGTCCCCTGCAATGCAAGGCGGATTCTTTACCACTGGACCACCAGGGAAGTCCCGGTAGTATTTTTTATTAACAACAAATAGAACCAACAGAGCAAATCAAGGAGAAATTGTGCCCAACAGCTACTGTCTAAACCTGAAATCATCTTTATCCCATACTGAGACAAACTACACCATGCACCAAATTCTTATATGGAGTTGTGATTAATAACATGAAAATTCATTTAGAAATACTGCTAAATTATTACATCAGCATGTTATCATTGCACAGCATTCTAATCAAAGGATACTAAAAGGAAAACCACAATTACTACCATGTGGGAATCCAGAAATAATATCTGACATTTTTGAAAGAGATCCTTATAATCAAAAAGATCTTGAACCACTGTTCCAGATGATAAGAAAAGACCATAATAAGGAAGAAAGGTACTGTGTGTGACCTGCTAGAGGTCTGAATTGCGACCTGAATTATTCATCTTTTTACATGTATAATTTAAAAGTATTGTTTAAAAAAAATCCTTTTTAGCAGCAACTAAACCATTTCATGTACCAGAAAAAGAATGTGTTACAGTAAAGTTTACGGAGGGTAAAAAGTGTAAGACGTTACCTCCACAGTTACTTTTATACTTAAAGAAATAGCTGAAGACAAAGTCTACCTAAAGTTCGCAGAGGAAGCTTTGATACTTGTTAACAATGGGAAAAGTAAATCAAAAAGAGATAGGAAGAAAAATAAAACTGGAACACAAGACTGATTTTTTTTTTAAAAAAGCAAAATGAGTCTAGGGTAAATGACATATGTTCTTCTCCTAAATTTTAGAAAATAAAAATTATGGGCCATAGAAGGAAAAGATTGGCAAATTGATTTCATAATCTTTTGGAAAAATGTAGGGGAAAAAAAGTAGAAAAAGGAAATATACACTGGGTCAAAATAGCCGTATTGACAGAATATCCTGATATTTAATCTGTCAGTAATATTATTTCTTTTTTCTTTTTAGATAAAATTATATATATATGTGTGGGTCTAATCACAGAGCTTCAAAATACCTGAAGCATAATTCCATAATTAGAGTTGGGGATTTTAACAACTCTCTCATCAATAACTATAATAACTAGACAAAAGACATAAAAGATTTTAACAGTACTATCAACCAACCTGACTCCACTCATATCTACAGAATTCTACACCCAAGAGTGATAAATATACAGTGCAAGTGACATAGGATGTTTGCCAGGAGACATATGCTGGGCTGGACCATTAACAAAGTCTCAGTAAACATAAAAGGATTGAAATCATAGAGTATGTTCCCTGCCAAAATTAAAAACAAATCATATTTGAGTACTTATGAAAACGCTAAATATTTGGAATCCAAACTACACATATATAAAGAATCTGTGGGCCAAAGAAGAAATCACAAGGGAAATTAGAGAATATTTTTTTAATGAAGGAAGATGAAAATACAGTATACAAAAATTTGTGCACTGCAGCTAAAGCAGGACTTACAAGGGAAATTTGTAACTTTAAATGGCCATGTTAGACAAGAAGAAGGGTCTAAAATCGGATATCTGAGTTTCCACTTCAATCATCAAAAAGAGATCAAATAAAATCCAGACTGAGTAAAAAGAAATAATAAAGATAAGAGCCAAAATCAATGAAAAAGAAAAATAAACAAATAGATAGAAATGAATGAAATGAACGCTGATGTTTTGAAAATACCAAGAAAACGGATAAGTCTTTATCTAGAGTGGTCAAAAAAAAAAAAAAAGAATTCACAATTTAACAATATCAGTACGTAGGAATGAATACTTCACTACAGCTAGACATGAAAAGGAAAAACCAATATTATGAACATGTTTGTGCTAATAATTTTACCTACTCATCTAATAGCTAGAAATCAATTGGTAAAATTTGCCAAAATAAAGGAAAAAAACATATAAACCTTTAAATATACTCAGAGAAAGCACTGAAGCATTTGGCAAAAGTCAACAGTCATGATAAAAACCCTCTGCCAACTAGGAAGAGAAGGGAACCTCTTCAACCTGATTAAGAGATCTGTAATAACTACAGCCACTATTACACTCAACACTGAATACTTCAACTATTTCTACCCAGAATCAGGAATAAGCATCTCTCACAACCATATTCAACATTGTACTAAGGTCCAAGGCACTACAAGAAGTAAAAAAAATTAAGTATTTGGGGAGTATATGACACAGGAGTATGAATCAGGCAAAACGGTACCATTATTTTGATAAACACTATGCTAATATTTTAGAAAAGTTAAACAAACTTTTCCTATAAAATGCAGAAATCTCATTTCTAGGTGTTTGCCCAAGAGTAATGAAAATGTATGCCCACACAGAGCCTTGTACACAATTATTTGTCACATCACGTATAATACCCCAAAACTGGAAACAACCCAATCCCCAACAACTGGTTAATGGAGAAACACACGGTGGTGTATATCCATACTATGAAACGCTACTCGGTAATAAGATAGAAGCAAACATTAACACACGCAACAGCACATATAAATCTCAAAAACCTAAATATGTCCCTAGTTTTCTTTTCATGAGTCAACATGTTGACTGATCCCACTTTCAATTTACCACCACTGACCTCCAGAGGTCCGCGATCCTACCAGGCAATCAGGGTGTATTTCCCCAGTCCCTTCACCAGTCTCTCTCCCTTCAGAACCACAGTGCTTTTCCCCATCACCCTTGCAACTCATGACCTGGTTTCCCATTTCACTAAGAAAACAAAATCAGAGGCTAGCCCCCACGACCACGTCTACCCTCGCATCTCGCTGTGTGCCCTTCAGCTCTACCTTCTCTCCTAACGCTACAGACCAGCAGTCAGTCAACCCGATGCACCAGGCACATCTGACCCACCGCCTATTTTTATAAATACAGTTTTACTAGGACATATCCACACCTATTCAGCTACGTATTGTCTAAGGCTGCTTTAGTGCTATGACAGCGGATTTCGGGGTTTCAACAGAAACCTCAAATGTTTGCTATTCAAACTGTCGCCAAAGGAGTTTGCTGACCCCGTGGACAAATCCACTGTGTTCTAGCAAAGGCCAATCCCTCGTTTCCTACCTCCCATCCCCTCTCACTGCTCCTGCACTTCTACCGACTCTCATTTTTTCCTTCACTACTGGTTGTTTTCCACCAAAAATAAACGTGTGTGGATTGTGCCCCTTAGAAAAACAAAACCAAGAAACCTCTCAGCTCCCATCCCCCCTGGCTATTTCCCCACCCTCCCCTCCTGTGGGCAGCTAACGACCTCCAACAGGCCGTTTACACCGAGGGCTCTAGGTCCCCCTCCTGTATTCTCCTGAGTCACTCCGACCAGGCTTCCCTCTTCTCCTCACTCCATGGAGACTGTCTCTGTTCTGGATCCCAGTGGCCCCCTAGGCTGCTAAAGCCAAGGGCAATCTTTAGCCCTAACCTTGACCTACAAGCAGCTGGCTGGTCACTCTCCTCGCCTGGACACACCTTCTCCACTTGGCAGGATTCTAGGAAGCCACATCACATAGATTGTTCCTCATCTTCTCAATCCCAAGGCTTTAGTCCTGAGATTCTTCTACCTACACTCCACTCATCGCCTTAAATACCATCTACAAGATGTCTTGCATGTGGGATTTCAGAAAGCAGAGTCAGGGCTTCCCTGGTGGCGCAGTGGTTAAGAATCTGCCTGCCAATGCAGGGGACACGGGTTCGAGCCCTTGTCCGGGAAGATCCCACGTGCCGCAGAGCAACTAAGCCCGCGAGCCACAACTACTGAGCCCGCGTGCCACAGCTACTGAAGCGTGCGTGCTTAGAGCCCGTGTTCCGCAACAAGAGAAGCCACCGCAATGAGAAACCCATGCACCACAACGAAGAATAGCCCCCGCTCGCCGCAACTAGAGAAAGCCCATGTGCAGCAACGAAGACCCAACACAGCCATAAATAAATGAATTAATTAAAAAAAAAAAAATGAAAGGCTCTCGATTATTTCCCCAACCCGAGACTATTTAAGCCCTATAGAGACAGAATTTTCAAGTCTGGCTATTGGTGTTTCTATGTCACAGAGCATTAAACATCACAAACTGGAGAGCGTGGCCTAACCAGCCCTTCCTCTCTCTAGCCTCTCTTGGTGGTACAGCACACAATAACTAGTGTTTAGGAAAATGATGCAAAGTCATGTTTAAAAGATAAATTCTATTACATATTCCCTGATGAACAGTATGAGACAGTATATGATTTAGAAAGATTTCTATCCAAATAGTCATTTGTTTTTAAGCTTGGCACCACTGGGGATTTTAGCCTTCCGTTATCCGTGAAAATCGCTTATTAATAATTATTTCATGAGAGTCAAAGTAGGATGGATTAACTGCTTAAAATACCCCAAGGACACAAAAAGAGAAAACTTAGTTTAATTATAGAATGCATAAACACGGAGAAAATCTAGTTCAATGTCAAGGACTGAAGGAAGTCTGAAAAAAAAAAAAAAAAAGGTTGCCATCAATTCCAAAACTCACTGTCTCAAAATCATTTGGTATAATTTCAAAATTATACAGTCATTTCTATAAAGATGCAGCGCACTTGCGACCCCCTGAGAGAGGCTGGAACACGTTACCCAGGGGCACTCTGGCAGCGCTGGCGTCGGGGTTGATCCAGAAGGACAGCCAGGACAGAACCACGATGAGCAGGGTTGGGGCATAGACGCCCATCATGTAGAAGCCCACCTGCCGCCTCAGGGTGAAGATGACCTCCACGCACGTGTAGTACCCTGCCAGCGACAGACACGGGCAAGAGTGACACTCCCGCCACATCCCACCGCAAAATCACATCGTGCCCGGAAATTACAGGTCGTTCCTGCTTGAGGCAATTTCACAAAGTGAACTCCACGTAAAAAGGACGGGGGCTGGTTCTGTAAATATGTATCATTTACGTGATCTAAGAGGACGGCATGATGAGACCTGTTTCACCCGACCTCTTGCAACTTCATTATGAGATTGACAAACAGACACCATGTGCTGCTCTGAGATGGCCAGTCTCGGCTTTTAAGTCTTTGCTCCGAGATTTTGCAGTGACTTAAACTTCCCATTATCCTTGGGTCCTCTGGGAGCAAAAGATGTAAAGAAGCCACCGGGAGCATCAAATCAGAGCAGAGCAAGTCTAAAAAGAAACATGCCTGGATTACACGTTGTCAGTATAATTTTCAGCCACGTGGACCACTTCTTATCTGGAAGGGATGACCGTCTACCAGAGCTCATACGCACATTTACGCATGAAATGTGCAGGCAGTCTTGGAGGTAAACACGAGGAGGGTAAGTGAGGGTTCCCAGTCTATGCAGGTAAAAGCTTGTAAAGGCAAACATCTGACATCCCAACCAAGTCTCCCCTGGTTCCACTCCAGGACCTCAAATGTTCTGGAATCGAGGGAAAGGGCTTCACTTTCACAGGCTGAGACTAAAGCAGACGTTGCCCTTACACATCATTCTAGGACTGCCATGATGTCAAGTAGTCTCTCAAATTAATCACAAATTATGGGCAGCCTCATAATAGCCTTTGCTGACTGGAGAAAGAAAATACATGACACAAATAGCCTCCCAGCACTGGCATACAAGAGACGTTTCCAGATGTTTGAGATGAATTTTTTAAATGTTCAATTTAGATAAAAATGTCATTTCCCATTCAACAAAAGGAAGGGCATATGCATGAATTCCAAAACGTTAAAATATCTTCAGTTGTGTTCAGTTTAAACTGTACATAATTATTTAAAATGCTGAGACAAATGAATGGACAGTGCGTAAATAAAATAATTACGGGGAAAATACAATATTACTTTTTTACTGTGTTTTAGTTTAAAAAGTTGTACTTATCTAGTTTTCCTAGTTGGGAAGAAGGTATATATTTCTGATGCTAGAATAATCTTCATATTTATTCATTAATAGTATCTAGAGCAGTAATTGCACACAAATAGGGTCTTTCAAAGAATGGCTATTCTCATCCCTTTATCAAATAGCTTAGATTAGAAATCTATCCTTTTCCCAATAATCACTGATACCTCGGAGGGATTAGAAAGATGTTAGGGCTAATCTGTAACAAAAATAAATAGTTGATTTGAACTGAAGCAAATTCTAATTATGCCAAATGTTTCCATATTATAGCAAAAAAAGACAAGCATGGGCTTCCCTGGTGGCACAGTGGTTGGGAGTCCGCCTGCCGATGCAGGGGACACGGACTCCTGCCCTGGTCCGGGAAGATCCCACATGCCGCGGAGCGGCTGGGCCCGTGAGCCATGGCCGCTGAGCCTGTGTGGCCAGAGCCTGTGCTCCGCAACGGGAGAGGCCACAGCAGTGAGAGGCCCGCGTAGCGAAAAAAAAAAAAAAAAAAGACAAGCAATGCAGAGTGTTTGTCTTTTTTAAATTTTAAGTTCATTAAAACTAGGCAATTCATTTAAATGGTGCACAGGTTCTAAAAAGATATGAAAGGCAAAACGATGGAAAATCCCCCTCCCTTTTCAGTGCCTACCTCTTATCTCAACTTCCTGCCTGGACAAATGAGAACATATGCTTCCAACTAACAACCATGTGCAAAACTTCCAAACTATAATCTTTCATAAGCCCATTCACTGCAATTAAGGAGGCCCACAGCGTTTCCTACACGCGGTTCTGCAGTACCTTGCTTTCTAAGAGTGTCACTCCCTCAAGGTAACTTTACACTCACCTAGTGCCTGTAAAATGGGGAATAACACATATGTGCTTATTATGTATCTTTAGGAGCCTAGGTTGTCACAAGGATTATAACAATTTTCTATAAAGTTGCTCACTTTCCAATGCATCTGTGCATCCCATCCACCACATTTAGATGACAGCCTAGTAACCGATTGCTTCATCTGAAGCCACCCCCCGGGGAGCTTCCCAAGACGTGGATGCATTTAGCAGTAAAATATACGCCTGGATATCATAGTGATTTGCTCCATAAACTTTTATGAGAAACATTTCTTGATCTTTTTTGATTTCCTGGTACTGTTACATTTATGAGGGGCAGGTGGGCAGCTAATGGGTATAAATGCTCACTGGCAAATTCAATTTATTTTCTATTTCCTGTGAGCTTTTATTTGATTATTATTCACTCAGGCTTCCAATTTAAAGATTTTTCTATACTTGTGTACCCATATATTTCTCCACCTGTGTAATTTCTACTATTATAAATAAAACCCTAATTTTTAATAAAGTTAAAGCCAAATCGCCATTTCAGATAATTTTGTACAAATTAAAGAAAATATTGGCCATCATTTTATATGTTGCTTTCTGTATCTTTTCCAGTATTCTACACTGTTAAGCTTTCCATATATTTTGGATGTTCTATTTTCCTAGATACATTTCTAAGTATTATCCAAACATTAAAATGTTCTTCTTGGGGCTTCCCTGGTGGCGCAGTGGTTGGGAGTCCGCCTGTCGATGCAGGGGACACGGGTTCGTGCCCCGGTCCGGGAAGATCCCACATGCCGCGGAGCGGCTGGGTCCGTGAGCCATGGCCGCTGAGCCTGCGCGTCCGGAGCCTGTGCTCCGCAATGGGAGAGGCCACAACAGTGAGAGGCCCGCGTACAACAAAAAAAAAAAAAAAAAAAAAAAATGTTCTTCTTATATCCATATACTGATTCATATAAATACTGACAAAGCATGTTTACTGAAATATAGTGCCAATTATTATTATGTTAGCCATGAGTTTTTTCTTATTTTCTGTATCTAATGAGATATAAGCGACTTATTTATGATAACTCAAAAAATACCACACACACACAAAAAGCTATTAAAGATTTACTTATCGTAAATCTTGAGTATATCCCCAAATACTCTCTACCACAGCACACCCTCTTATTTCCTTCTTAGGACTAAAAGAATTATATTCACTTTACTTGCTCGCCATGTAAGAATATGGATCTATAAAACAGCAGGGATCTGTCCTTTATTCACTGCTGAGTCCCCAAGTAGAGGCTTCTTTTTTGTTAAGATTGTTTTGATGTGGACCATTTTTAAAGTCTTTATTGAATTTGTTACAATATTGCTTCTGTTTTATGTTCTGTCCTTTTGGCCAAGAGGCATGTGAGATCTTAGCTCCACGACCAGGGATCGAACCCGCATCCCCTGCACTGGAAGGTGAAATCTTAACCACTGGACCTCCAGGGAAGTCCCGAGACATTTTAAGTTCAGGGCTTAAAGGTGAAAAAATGAATAACCCCATGATTTTCAATACTATTACATGATTTTATACTACATAAAATTAGAAATAAAATTACTGGTTTTATTTTTCATCTCTAGATGAAGTTTAAAAAACTTCAGTAAACTCTATTTCAAGTTTCTCAAACAATTTAGAGACTATTCATTTTGAAATGTTAATCATATAATCTGGATGTGGGTAACTATTTTCCAAATATAATAGCACTCACTGAACTCACAGGACTGTTGTGAGGATTAAATGATAGAATTCCTGCAAAGTGCTTAAAGCAATGCCTGACAGATAGCAAGAACTCAAAAAGCCATCTATTAAATGTTTCTATACATCAATCCTCCAAAAAACTTCTCTCGGCTTTCAAGTTTATTCTACCAATGAATGCTTTATCCTACCAATGAATGCTTTATTCTACCAATGAATGCTTTATCCTACCAATGAATGCTTGGTAGGATTTTATTCTCTTGGCTTTCAAGTTTATTTTTTCCATTACTAGGTGAGAAATCCCTGAAAACTGTAGTCAGTCTCAATTTGCGTGAGTCATAGGGAGGAGAATGACTGTGCCCAGGTTACAGCTGACACTGATTTGCCCTTGACATTCAGGAAGTCGTTGACCCTGCATCTCAGTTATTTTATGTGTTCAACAAAAGAGCTGACTCAGCATTAGCCGACCGATCACTCCCACATCTGACAATCAAGGTATCTACGATTTCTTCACTGAATACTTTGATGGTCAAATTTTGAAGAGCTCTGTTTTTCCATTAAAATTTTTGATAATTCTTTCAGCAGTGTATTTGCTTATTTTGTCTCTTGTCCTAAAATACTATAAGCTCTACAAGAGAAGGGACTATTTATATATAAATGATATATAATCTGTTAATTTAATTGAAGGTCAATGACAACAGATGCTTAAACTAACCTTATCTCTAAGTTGGCACGTGTTGTATTTATTATTACAACAACGTAGATATGCAACTATTCACTCTATCTTTTATTCTAATCAGCAGGTATGTTTTAAATCATATTTTGTCCTTGATGATGTCACGATGCAGCATTTTAACTCAAACATCTCATCTCAGTAAATTTTCCACAATTACTCTACACATTTTTATTTTTGCAAAGTCAACATAAATGTTGCAATAAACTTTTTAATTACATCTATTCCTGAATATCTTTGTCAAGATTTACTTCCTGATACAGAATTAGAATTTTGTGGTAATTTATAAGTTAGACTGATTATTCGTGTGAATGTATTGGTCAAAAGTCATTCACCTTTTTATTTATATTGCTGAGGAAAATAGCACTATATTTAATATCTAGAGCCTTCAATAACCTATAACCTCTAGAGGAGACTCAAAGGTTGAATACTAACCATATTAGGAAAGTATTGATCAGTGAGTACTGTATTTTCATTTCTGTAAAGCTTGACGTGATTTAATGCGTGAGGTTAATTTGTTGAGTTTTCATAACTGGCTGTTCCATAACCTAGATCAAGAATATTATAGGGCAAATTTTTACTCATGTCCAATTATTTCATGTGTTTACTGTTTCCTGCACAGCATAAAGATCAAATTTTTTGAAAATTAAGAAAATGGGTCAACCAACATTGAAAAACTGCCCCAAAGACAGCAGACGAATATATATGGGTTACATTGTTTATATCCATAACGTTTGGCCCTAATATGAATCCTGTCAGAGCAGAATTTCTAGGCAACATCTAAGAAAACCACTGCCTGGAGATTTCATATAAAATAAAATGTTGAAAACCTGTTGTTATCCGGAATTACATAAAGAAAAGCAAAACTATCTAGTGATAAAATAAATTTTAACTTTAGTGGATGTAATTTTATGAAACATTTAAATATATCAACATACAGATATAATGTTTATAAATACTGAATTTATTTTTTAACTAGTTTTCTCTGTTCTGTCCCTAGCATATTTTAATATTGAAACAAACCTTTGAAATAAGACTTAGTTTTGTTTAATTTAAAGAATATTACTTACCAGTGCCTTTGTAGTATTTTGTACAGTTACCATATTCAATATCTTCCTTTTTAATATCAAATTGAGGCAAGGCAATTTTTTCTAATTGAACAGGATCCCCTGACTGCCAGATAAACCGTAAGTCGTCAGTTGTGTAACCAACTATAAACAAAAGGAAATAAAATATTAGTTTGAAATATAATTACTGACACTTCTTTAACATTTTAACATCCAGATATTAAACACAGAAATGGTAAAACAATAGGCCTTTTTATGAAACTTTTGTTAGAAATGTAAAGAGGTAAAATCTATGGCCACTAATAAAAATATTAGCACAAGTTACAGATAATTGGCTTAAAGAAAGAACAAGCTAAAATAATCAGCATATCACAGATGGTAAAAATCCTCGGGTGTCATGAACAGTAGTACATCTGTCTATGTCAGAATTCCGAACTGTCATCAATGAAAAAGTAGCAAATAAGTGATATTAGCTTTCTGAATGTACACATTTACAATCATGCAATATGCTACCTGGAGATTTTTAAAGAAACTTAAGCACCAAAATGGGTTTTTTTGAAGAATTCACTACCAACTTCCCTAGAGGAGTTGCATGGCCAGAGGAGAGCAATAAAACAGCCCCTCAAATGGACATCACTCCATCACTAGAGCCTCCTGGAACCCACATTGTGGGCTTAGGTAACCTGGCTACAATTCAAGGGCCCCATGGGTTTACAGCATGTTGTAGCCTACCGTTCAACTCTTACATGCCTATATTTTTTAAAGCCATACTTTAGTGTATCTAGTAATAGAATTGAAGGTATATACACATTTGGAATTATTTATAAAAAATGCATATTGACACACAGGCACACGTGTATACAATACACACACAGACGTGTACATACATACACTTATATCTGCAAAATCTCACATTATAGTTAGAAAGCAAAAAATATTGTTCAAATTTAGGACCCAGCTTCAGTAAATTAAACAACAACAACAAGTAACCACTAAGTGACTTTAAAGCATGTCATCAAGCAAGCACATACATTTTATAAGGTGATTCTTTGTAGGAATAGGTCACAGTATATGGGTATTCAGGCTGAAGATTCCTTCCATTAGTGTTCATTTTTCAAGTTTTATTTCCTACTTTGATTTTCACATGACAAGCTTCATAGCAAATTAATTAATAAATATATTTTAGAGATAAGCATTTCAATGACTACACCTGATACCTCTTTTAGAAACTGAAAAATATATGATTCTAGAAACATAGAAAATCTAAAATCCAATTTTGTAAAACATAATTTTTTTATAGATCCATAGAAAATGAATGCTTGGTAGGATTTAGATAATATTTTTCAATGTTTTCCAAATTTTCTGCTCTGAAAAATGTGGATTTAACATTAGAAAAGTTATTAGGACATCATTTTCTCCTTTACCTTGCCTATATTACTAACTCAAATGAAGGTGGCGATTGGAATAAGTTAGAAGGGTACACACCTACACCTACGACAACTCAACTGAAATCAACTGGTAACAAAAGAATTCATCTATCTTAGTATACAAATTAATACAGTAAAAGGAAAACTATAATTTCCCTAAATAACTAATTCTAACGTCTATTTGGAATCAAAAGCATTAGTTTCACCGTTATTATCTAAGATATTAGTAGCATGTATTGCCTAGAAATTTTAAGCATTTTTATCCCTATGGTGACTTAGGGTCTCATTTACATACAGCTCTCAAGTTGCATCTTGCAACGTTGTGTATCCATGGGAAACAAGGTCAAGTCCAAAGGGCACGAAAGAGTAATAGATAGCCTGAAAGCAGAAACAGACGTCTTAGAAGTTGTTTAACACATGTCTCTGTGATATGCTGATTTTTAAAGGAAAATATGAATCTACAAATATTAGAGAGAAAAGAGTACCTCATGCTGACGAGGACATCTCCATCCCGAAAAATAAAGAGGAGAATATTTTCCTGGGTTACATCATGAAAATTGGCACTTTTTTCATTTGCAAAAAATAAATCAGGTTTCCACAGACACTTGTACATCGTGGGGTCCACCGTCAGGGCATCTGAGCCCCGGAAATCACTAGGCAGCTTCAGTCTGGGGTCGTTCCACTTCTGTCTCAGGAAGATGTTGACTCTATAATCCTGGGAAAATTACGTGTGCGTGTGTGTTTACTGCCATTTTTAAGAATGCGTTCAGCACCAGAATAAAAAGGGTTCAATCATTAGCAGCACAAATACGTTTGCTCTTCCAACATTAACAAGGATCACAATAGCTTGGTATAAAAAGCCCCTCGTGTCTTTCTAAGACTCTCTACAGACATCCTCTTAGCGCTTGCGAGTTCAAACGTCGTCATAGAACTTTACCAATAATTGCTTTACTGTAATACAAACACCAATTATACCAGCGGGTTAGTTGGTATTGTCAAAAAAGCACAGGAACTGCTAAATACTGCCATTATTCTTCCCCCAAAAGTAGGATACATTTTCATTAAAAATAGATAAGAAGCCAAGAGAAAATATTTCACTTGTATCTTACTAAGTAGCAAACTACAAAAATAATTTATATGTATATAAAGCTACAAGGGGGTTCGGGAGGGAAGGATTGGGAGTTTGGGGTGTGCAGATGGAAGCTGTTTATCCATAGGATGGATAAACACCAAGGTCCTACTGCAGAGCACAGGGAACTACATTCAGTAGCCTGGGATAAACCACCATGGAAAAGAATTTTTAAAAGAGTGTGTATATAAGTATAACTGAATCACTTTGCTGTACAGCAGAAACTAACACAACACTGTAAATCAACTGTACATCAATAAAAATAAAACAAAACTACATATATGTTTAAAACACATACTTTATACTTGAGGAAGGAAAGGAAAAATGATCCTTGCCTACTCATACATGTAAATGATTATACAGAGGTAGTCAAATAACAGTTGGATTTTGCCAGATGAGAGTACGTGAAAAATGTGTAAATGTTTTTTTCAACTCCAGTAGGAAAAGGTTTTGAAATCCACTAAACAGCTGATAATCTTTCTTCAGTTTTTTCCTATCTCCAAAGTTTTAATTGTAAAACTTTGTAAAAGTTGGATTATATCAAGACATGTATATTCTAAGAATATATGAACCTGGAAACATTGTTTGATACCCTAATACATTTTATATTTGCCAGTGAAATGAGATTCTGGCACACACTGGGTTACTGGGGTATATACAGTCCAAAGCAGCACGGTGGCATTATGCTCAGGTTGTTTTATTTTAATTTTATATGCTGAACTCAGAATATGCACCAAAGTGCTCAAGGCATAAATGACATTGGGCTTCAGCATCCTTATTTTCAACCATTCAAAATTCACAAAATACTATCTATCCATGGCCTTTTGACATGATCAAAATGAATCAGGTCATAAACTTCAAATCAAAATCCAAATATTTAAATAGGAAGAGATGATAGATTATCTTTCTTTAAATAATAAGACCTAACGTATTTATATGAAACATAAATGCGCACATTTTATTTATGTATAAAATAAAGCATAAGCAATGCGCAGTGACTAGGAAAATTTGAGGAATTCACTTCCTCTCTCCTATGATGTTCAGATTCTATAATAGTAATCAGAGGAGGGTAAGGTACATATTGATAATAAATATTTACTGAACTACAAACAGTGAAGTAAGATTTAACCTACCTACGTCTAACAGCTAAACTTGATGTCTATAAAAACTGCAACACATATAACGCAACATTGTAAATCAACTATACTTCAATTAAATACATGTTTAATAAATAAATAAACTTCAACACATAATATAAATTGATTGTTAAAAATCATACGCAGGTGGTCTTGAAGTGCGAAAGTCAAATAAATTAAGAATTATGTAAGCTGGCACTGAACATATCTGTACCACTGGCAGGGAAAACAAAAATAACATTTTCCTAATCAAATGAACATGGAATCAAGGAGGACGTGAAGGAGACCTAGGACCCTGGAAGATGAAGACCTGCACTACACAGCTCCATTAACTTTTTGTCAAATATAAACATATCTTACAATTCATAATGGGACTTAAGCGGTTACCTCATATCTGATTGTGACAGCTAAAGAAATTAGCTCAAAACATGTCCAGGACATAGGCCTATCAGCTGGTAAGCCTTCCAGTGGCCACAATGCTGCTTCCTGACCAAAGTTTTTCTCATCCCAGAAAAACATGCATGGCCCCCAACTTAAGAAGAAATAAACCATAGATCTGATCATTTTCAAATAAAATTCCTAGTATGCTAGCTTCGCTAAAGCACACGGTTGATATACGCTTGCCATTACTTTGCGCACTTAACAGTATCCAATTCCAAATTATTTGCTAAAAAGCTTTCCCGTAATGATCAGCCAAAATGACTGGTATTCTAAAATTATATGCAGTAAAAGCTATTCTATTACCCTCTTATAACTACTGTTTCTTATCCAGGTAGATCATCAAACACTACATGTTCAAGCTGTGGTACTTGAAATACGTATTCACGGTATTACGATAAAATACTGGGTCCTAGGGGTCAGATGAGGTTGCCGATGTATCTTTTATAAGCTCATTATTAAAGCTATGGTCCCTTATTTTGGTCAATAGCCATGACATGAAAATACTGAAGATGAATTTTTCTTTAATTTTTCATTTGCTTATCCAAATATAACTATAGTATCTTTGTATAGGTATTTACTACGTGCTAGGCATATTTGGCCTAAGTGCCTTACAAAAATATGACTATTTTTGGAAGTTTATACTATGAAAATGGTCTCTTGGTGCTCATAGATGCTTCCTATTACTGGGAAGTACAAGGTAAGCTTATTGTCGTGTTTCCTTTCTGTCTGGCAGCTAGGGAACTGAAAGCTAAACCCTATAGCTAATTGAATTAATGTATAGCTCACATCCTGGTATGACTATCATTGTATGGCTCCTACACATTTAGTACTGTTTCAATTACTTCATTGTATTTTTGTTATTCTTATATACTGTAAATCCTCTCCAGAAACAGGGGGCTGGATAAAAAAATAAATAACCGTTGAGACACTGCCATATACTGACAAGACTCTTTCAGTATTATTTGGGCACAACTCCCAAGCAACTTTACCAGTGTGGCTTCTAAAACTGGATGCTTTGTTTTAGCCTAATATTAGGTTTTATTACTTTAAAGAGGGTGAGAAATATGTGTAGAGATAGAAGTACTAAGATCTCATTGGTATTCTTTATCTAGACCCAAGCAACTACATTTTGCTTCTTAGTAATTAATTTCTAAAGACACTATATCAGTATTTTTTTAATATCAGAAAGATATCTGACAGGAATTAAAGCAACGCTAACCTTTAACTTCAGCATATTTTGCATAATTAAAAAAGAAGCCATCTTACAATGTTTGGGGTGGAACTTCAGGAATTAAGCCTGCATTATGTCGAGCTCCCCTCGAAATCTCCACACAGGCACACATTCTTTTGGGAGCCCTGTTCTACTTCCCACCTATTTCCAAAATGGAATGGTTAACTCATCTAAAACTGTATCGCCAAATTACTTTTCTTTTAAAATTTTTATAGCAATTGCAATAGTGTTTTTCCATGTGAAGTCCATTTTTCTAAATTCTTCTTGAAGTCTAATCAATGTTTCCACACCATCCCAGAATATATTCATGTCATTTATCATTTATTAAGTTCAAAGCATTTGAATCAGCTGAAAGCTGATGAAAGCCCTAGATAGTATCAGAGACCTTGACAAAATAAACTGTCTGTGTGAAAAATTACAAAATTACAAATGATACAAGAATGTTTTAATCTACAGTCAACCCTCTTTTTGTTCTATATGTCTGAGACAGGCTGGGACCTGGGACCTGGGACCCTTTGCTGCAGGGCTTGCACCTGGACACACGTTTCCTGCAGCCATAAAGAAACTATAAGGGACTAAAAATAACTGACAACAGCAAATGGAAATGAGGGTGTGGAGCAGTAGGAGCTCTCACTGCTGCTGGGAATCAAAATATTACAGCTACTTTGGGAGACAGTTTGTCAGTTTCTTACAAAACTAAACACTCGTATCATATTGCACTCCTTGGTACGTACTCAAAAAAGTTGAAAACTATGTCTACACAAAAACCTGCAAATAGGTATTTATTGTAGCTTTAGTTATAACTGCCAGAACTTGGAAGCAACCAAGATGTCCTCCAGTGGGTGATGGATTAATAAACTGTGCTCCATCAGGCAGTGAAATATTATTCGACACTAAAAGGAAATGAGCCATCAGGCCATGAAAAGACATAATGGAACCTTAAATGCATATGACTAAGTGAAAGAAGCCAATCTGAAAGGGCTGCATACTGTATGATTCCAACTATAATGGCATTCTGGAAAAGGCAAAACTAAGGAGACAGTAAAAAGATCAGTGGTTGCCAGGGGTTAGGGGGAGAGAAGAATGAATAGGCAGAAGACAGTGGTTTTCCAGGGCAGTGAAATTCTTCTGTTTGATACCATAATGGTGGATACATGTCATCATATGTTTGTCAAAGCCCATCAAACGGGCAATGCCAAGAGCAAACCCTAATCTAAACTCTGGATTTTAGGTGATGATGTGTCCATGTAGAGTCATCGATTGCAACCACAGGACCACTTCGGTGGAGTAAATCCATAGTGGAGGAGACGCTGCACGTCCAGGGGTAAGGGGCTGACAGGAACTCTCTACGCTTTCTACTCATTTTTGCTGTGAACCTAAAACTATTCTAAAAAATAAAGTCTACTTTAAAAAAGGAAATGCAAAAAATTATGTAAACAAAAGGAAAGGGAATAAATAAAAAGTTAGCCAAAATTTGGAGACAGGCAAAAAGATGGCCCTTTCAACATCACACTAAATGCTATCTAACAAGCCCACCTAAGGGTTGTATGAGTCTCTAGGAAAATGTAACTTTGTTTGACTTGCCATTTTCTATGGATTAGGGCCCAGACTCTGTACAATTATGTCATTTCAAGAAGATTACTAAATTACAAATGATTTCTGTCAGGTAGGAAAGACATTCCCAAAGGTATGCCTTTATTGCCCTGTGGAACACTAACAAGTATATCTAATTTAGCAACCTAATTGCAGCATTCTTTCTCTCCAGTCTCCTGAATTCT